CTACCTACCTTTCAGTTGTTTTTCTTTTATGGCTTCAGGGATAAACAGACCATCAAAAACATGAGAAAGTGGGCCATGACCTAAAAGTAAAAATAAAAATTACATTTATACAGAATCATGATTCCGGGGGAGCTTAGACCCATGAAAAACACATAAACAATATTTTCTAGAAGTGAAAATAGTAAAGAAAAAAATCAGTTAAATTTCATTTGTATTTTTTTTAAATATATATTTTTATTTTTTTTTCTGCAGAAAAACTACACAAAGAAATGAATAGTACATTTGAAAAATGTTTAAAATCATTACCATGAGTTTCCAGTATTGGTAACCAAATAAAAATCTTTTAAAAGTAGAGTAAAAGTAACTAAAAGTTTTAGTTTGTTTGTTTTTAATAAAGCTGCTCAGTTATTTTGACTCTCCATAAGCATTAGTGCTCCTCACCCAAGTCGTGACACAGACCAGCGATCTGAACACACAGGAAATCCTGTTTGGTGATCTTGAGCTCGGGCTGATTGTCATGAAGAACCTTCACCAGACATCCTGCTAAATACGCCACACTAACACACACAAACAAGATATTAATGTACAGATCTGATTATTTGACCAAATCTGATTTATTTTATTCCACCTGTTTACATAAGACCAGTGTTTGGGGTAAAATCATCAAAATAGCATGAGTTAAGTAATCAGATTACTTTTTTTCCAAGTAACTAGTGAAGTGACTGTGTGAACTGTGCGTGCTGTGTGAACATGATGTTACTGTAGTTCTAGACTAAATGTGAACATGCATTTACTCATCTCACTCACAAAAACAGATTCAGTGTTTCTCAAAATGAATAAAACTGTGAAATGCAAACTAAGAATATGATGCAAACCTGCAATAATTAAATATGTTAATTAACACAAATATCCTTTATATTTATCCTTTGTATTTAATCCCATTTTATTAACGGATGTCTTTACTGCTGACCTTTGATGATCCAATTCAACCATACTAATAAGCAAAAATGACTTTAGACAAACATGACATTTGTGTGTTGAACTTTCTTCTCCTGCGTCATGGCAGCATAGCTGAAAGGTTTGTTTTGACTGCGTCCTCTACTGTACAGATATTAATTTACATTTCCTTCAGCCTGAGGCTTATTCATTTCATTTTACATTTGTTCAAAAATTTTTTTTGTGAAAGGGCTTTTATATATATGACAAAAACAGAACATTTTATATTAAGCAAGCAGATGAGGAAAAAGTAACAAAAAAGTAACATAACACATTACTTTCCATAAAAAGTAACTAAGTAACGCAATTAGTTACTTTTTAGAGAGTAACACAATATTGTCATGCATTACTTTTAAAAGTAACTTCCCCAACACTGCTTAAGACACAAACTCTTGTTAGATACAAGTCTGTAATCTGTGTTTACATTATTCTCCCATCCAAATTAGAATGATTCAGTTGGTAACTGCTTTTGCTATGAGCGTCATGGTTGATCCTTGAATTTTAAATGGCCTCGTGCTATTTCATATTTTCAAAATGTAGGTGAAAAAATAAATAAAAATACTATTGCCATAGTAAGCACGGCTTTAATGATTTTAGTCTGATGAGGAGTGAGCTGAGACCTAGAAGTCTGGAGAAGACGTCAACCATGGTGTTTATAGTAAAAGCAATTACCAATTTAATTATTATAATTTGGGCAGGAGATTAATGTAAACACAGATTACAGACTCTCACCAATATAAGTCTATTGTGTAATAGGCAGGACAAAAAAAAATAAAATATCTGATACAGTCAAAAGATCAGATCTGTTCATTAAGAATAAGCATCAGCCTCTCCTGCATGTTTCTGAAAAAACAGGTTGTCTGAGCAAGTAAGAAGCATCTCCTGCCATAATAACTACATTATTTTGCCTTCTTGATTTGCTTTACTTTACAATCAGTTCACACCAGCTCTGAATATAATCCATTCTCACCCAATCGAGTGTTCAAAGCGATTGTGGGAAGCGCCCGGATACACCAGATATGTTCCTCCTAGCTGTTTGATGTGTCTCAGTCTCTGAAACTGAGGAGTATCTGTGATCTTCACCAGCAGGGGGTGCAGCTCAATGTGACCATGAACGGGGTCGTTGAAGATCTACAAAAGATACAAGTTAACTACAGTTTGTTAAATAAGTATATTTTACATTTACACCTATGGCAGTTACTGTACAGACTTTCTGCAATAATATACAATTTGAGTACAATTTGAACGTTTAAAGAGGGTTTGCACTGATGTCACTAAGATATCTTTAATACTTTTTGAGTTACAGGCATGCAAAAGTGATTTTTCCCATTGTTGGACTGTCACCGTTGGCATATAATGAAACAAAGATTGTTAAAGTCAACAGATTTTACTAATAGACCAATCTATGTGTAAAAATAAAATGATGCTGCAAGCTTTCTGAAGTAATTTTTACACCCTTGTAATTTGACGATTTAGAAATGTTCATAATACAGTTGTTTACCAATTTAACTCTATAGCGTACCCATATAACACATATAAGTAATATAATTCACAACATAACAGATATACTTAAAAGAGTTCCAGTTGCAATAAAAAAACAAAAAAACAAAAACAAAAAAACACTTGGTTTCACGTTTCGATATGTAGCTATAAGGTAATTTGACAAAGCCCTTTTTTTGTTGTTCGTTATATATATATAATACCTGATTATGCTCAACCAGAGGCTGCAGATTTGTTATATTAAGGGATTTTGTTTGTAAAAGCAGTCAATAAAAAAAAAGTCTAATTCAGCTTGTACTTTGTTGCTGTAGTCGACAGCGCCACCTAGCGGTTAGGGGGGTTTGGCTGTGTACTTGCAGAACTATAATTGCAAACAGCCACGTGAGCTACTGGTGCAGGTCTGACACAGAAACATAAGCTATCAGACAGAAAACTATTCATACATGCTACATGTTCCTTCATACAATTGAAAAGTGTGCGACACTATGCGTAAATGCTAACACAGCTTACCTTCATTTGTTCATTTGGAAAATCCAAGGAGTATTTCTTCAAGACGTCTTGCAATTCATTCTTCAAAACCTCCCACAACGTTCCAGGCTCTGGAAAGACATACCATTATATATATATATATATATATACATATACAGTATATATACCTGTGCAGAGTTCTACTCTGCTATCATTGAATCCATCCTCTGCACTTCTATAACTGTCTGGTTCAGCTCAGCTACCAAATCTGACCTCAGAAGACTACAGAGGGTAGTACACTGGTATCACTGGTACAACCCTCCCTTCTCTCCAAGAACTGTACTCATCCTGAGTTTAAGAGAAAACACCAATGACAATTGGCTAGTGGATGTTGCATACCTGAGCCACTCCCCGTGCATACGGGTATAAATAGGCGACAGGTGGATCCACTCTTCAGGTTTAATGCTGAGGAGCCGAGAACGTGTCCCGGCAACAGCGAATGGTCCATGGTTTTGGCATGGGGACATAACGTCTCCGTTCCCTCCTTCAGGGAACGAGGGTTACGTACATAACCGAGCTGTCAAGGGAAGACACAGGTTTACCGAGAGGGAAACCTTACCATTGAAGAATACACATATGGGATTACCCGTAGGGAATCAAGCCATATAG